AAAACCAGGCAAAGAAGCCACAAAAAAAGAAAATTACAGACCAATATCTCTCATGAATATAGATGCAAAAATTCTCAACAAAATTCAGCCAATAGAATTCAGCATCATACCAAAAAAATAATACACCACGACCAAGTAGGATTCATTCCAGATATGTAAACACGGTTCAACATTAGAAAATCAATCAACGTAATCCACCACATAAATAAATCACACGATCATCTCAATCAACCCAGAAAAGGCATTCGACAAAGTCCAATACCCATTCCTGAAAAAAACTCTCAATAAAATAGGTGTAGAAGGGAAAATCCTCAACACAGTAATTCCCAATGGAGAGAGGCTGAAAACACTCCCCTTGAAAACAGGAACAAGACAAGGATGCCCTTTATCTCCATTCCTATTTAATATTGTGCTGGAAGTTCTACCTAGAGCGATAAGGCAAGAAAAAGAAATAAAGGGCATCCAAATTGGTAAGGAAGAAGTAAAACTGTCCCTATTGCAGATGATATGATACTATACACAGAAAACCCAAAAGACTCCAAGAGAAAACTACTGGAACTAATAGAAAGATTCAGCAGAGTAGCAGGATGTAAGAGAAACATACAAAAACCAGTTGGATTCCTATACACCAACGAAGAGAACGATGAAAAGGAAATCAGGAAAATAGTACAATTTATAACAGCCCCTAAAAAAATAAAATACTCGGGAATAAATCTAACCAGGGATGTAAAAGACCTATACAAAGAAAAGTACAAAACACTACTGCAAGAAACCAAAAGAGATCTACATAAATGGAAAAACATACCATGCTCATGCATAGGTAGAGATGACATTGTGAAAATGTCAATTCTACCCAAAGCAATCCACAAATACAATGCAATCCCGATCCAAATACCAACAACATTCTTTAAAGAGATGGAAAAACTAATCATCAACTTTACATGGAAAGGGAAGAGGCTCTGGATAAGTAAAGCACTACTGAAGAAGAATAAAGTAGGAGGACTCGCACTACCTAACCTCAGAACCTACTATACAGCTACGGTAGTCAAAACAGCCTGGTACTGGTACAACAACAGATACACTAACCAATGGAACAGAATTGAGAACCCAGATGTAAATCCATCCACCTACGGTCACCTAATCTTTGACAAAGGCTCAAAGTCCACCAAACGGGGAAAAGACAGTCTTTTTAATAAATAGTGCTGGCAAAACTGGATGTCCATCTGCAAAAAAATGAAACAGGACCCATACCTCATATCATACACAAAAACTAATTCAAAATGGATCAAAGACCTAAATATAAACCTAAAAACTATAAAGATCATAGAAGAAAAAATAGGACTAATGCTAGCGGCCCTAATACACAGCATTAACAGAATACAAACCATAAGTAACAACACACAAACTCCAGAAGGTAAACTAGATGACTGGGGTCTTCTAAAAATTAAACATTCATGCTCATCAAAAGACTTTACCAAAAGAGTAAAAAGAGAACCTATAGACCAGGAAAAAATTTGCTGCTATGACAAATCCAACAAAGGTCTAATCTCTAAAATTTACAGGAAAATCTAACACCTTTGCAACAAAAAGACAAATAATCCAATTAAAAAATGGGCAAAGGATAGGAACAGACACTTCACCAAAGAAAACAATCAAGCAGCTAACAGATACATAAGGAAACGCTCGCGATCACTAGCCACTAGAGAAACGCAAATCAAAACCAAAATGAGATACCATCTCACCTCTAGCATTACTGGCACAATCAAAAAAACTGAAAATAACAAATGTTGGACAGGCTGCGGGGAGACTGGAACTGTTATGCACTGCTGGTGGGAATGCAAAATGGTACAACCATTTTGGAAAACGATATCGCTAGAAATAGAAATAGCATACAATCCAGCAATCCCACTCCTAGGCATATATCCTAGAGAAGTAAAAGCTGCCACACAAATAGACGTATGCACACCCATGGTCACTGTAGAACTGTTCGCAATAGCAAAAATATGGAAATAACCTAGATGCCCACCAACAACAGATGAATGGATAAACAAACTATGGTACATACACACAACTGAGTACTACACAATAAAAAACAATGATGAATCTGAGAAGCATCTCACAACATGGATGAATCTGGAGGACATTATGCTGAGTGAAATAAGTCAATCACAAAAGGACAAATATTGTATGAGACCACTACTACAAAAACTCATGAAAAGGTTTACACACAAAAAGAAACCACCTTTGATGGTTACGAGGGAGGTGAGGGGTCGAGATGGAAAAACACTAAATAGACAGTAGGCAAGTGGAAACTCTGGTGAAGGGTAAGACAGTACACAATACTGGGAAAGCCTGCATAAGTTGTCCAAGGCAAGGTCATGGAAGCTCCAGAGACACATCCAAACTCCCTGAGTGATTGAATTACTGGGCTGAGGGCTGTGAGGACCACGGTTTCAGGGAACATCTAGTTCAATTGGCATACATAGTTTATAAAGAAAATGTTCTGCATTCTAATTTGGTGAGTAGTTTGTAAGCAGCCATGTTAGATAATCCACTAGTCTCACCCCGTATGGAGCAAGGGAGAATGAAGAAAACCAAAGACACAAGGGAAAGATTAGTCCAAAGGACTAATGGACCACAACTACCACAGCCTCCACCACAACGAGTCCAGCACAACTAGACGGTGCCTGGCTACTACCACCGACTGCTCTGACAGGGATCACAATAAAGGGCCCTGGACAGAGCTGGAGAAAAATGCAGAACAAAATTCTAACTCACGAGAAAAGACCAGACTTACCGGCCTGACGGAAACTGGAGAAACCCCAAGAGTATGGCCCCGGGATACCCTTTTAGCTTAGTAATGAAGTCACTCTTGAGGTTCACTTCAGCCAAACATTAGAGAGGCCCATAAAACTAAAACGAGACTAAAGGGGCACACCAGCCCAGGGGCAAGGACTAGAAGGCAGGAGGAGACAGGAAAGCTGGTAACAGGGAACCCAAGGTCAAGAAGGGGAGAGTGCTGACATGTCGTGGGGTTGGTAACCAATGTCACAAAACAGTATGTGTACTAAGCATTTAATGAGAGGCTAGTTTGCTCTGTAAACCTTCAACTAAAGTACAATTAAAAAAAAAAAATTAACCCCAAAAAAGAAAGAAAAAGCACTGCCCTATACTCTTCAAAGTTATCAATGTCATGAAACGCAAAGAAACACTTAAAAATTGTTTTTGATTAAAAGAAACTGAAGAGAAGTGATAACTAACCGCAAGGTATGATTCTAAACTGGATCCTGAAATCGGAAAAACTGCTAGAAAGGATATAATTACAACAATTTGTAAATTTTGAATATGGATTTGATAATAGTCTACCAATGTTGAATTTCTTGACTTTTGATAATCATACTCTCTATAGCATTGACAACTATAAAATTATTCTCAGGAAACATGCACTGAAGCATTTAGGTATAAAAGAGTATCATATATGCAATTATTCTCAAATACATCAGGAAGAAAATTTAGCTAGAAAGATAAATTGTAAAGGAAATTGGTCAAGTATTAACAATTGGTTAATTTGGTGAACTCTTATAAGTAGTTCTTTGTACTTTTTGTGCAACTTTTCTGTAAGTTTGAAACTATTTCTCAAAATCAAAAATTATGAAGTCTTTGTACATACCTCTTCCTATTAGTTATACTTAGAATCAGACCTATTAAAATGACTTACCTGTTGTGTTTTCCTAAATTCTTCTAAAATCTTTGCTGCCATTTCATAATCTTCTAATAAATGGTAAGCAATAGCATAGCCAATCCATGATGCCCTCTGTGCAGGTCGAAGTTGAAGTAATTGATATCTCGTTTCCTTTAAGGAAAAAAGAACTTTTTCTTAGGTTTACAGTTAAAGTAAACACTCTTTAAACAGACTGCATTAATTTATCCCACAACACTGAACACTCTGTAACACAATGCTGAGAATAACAGAACTAAGTTTCAAAATACCCATACTGTTTAACTTTTGTATAGCCAAAGAAATCTTATTTAAGAAGCACAATGAAGCCTCCAAGTTAATCTTATGTTTTTGAAAACTGTAAGATAACCTTCTTTATTTCCTGATACACTTACTCCAAGACAGGATGGAAAACACAGTACCAAGGAAAAAAATTATTCAAAACTTCTCCAAAAAAAGTGCCCAACTACCGAGTTAACATACAGAGAAAACAACTCAGCATGGAAAAAAAGAATATGAAAAAGGGACTAAGTAGATTCAACACTGATTTTAGGGGTAAAAATAAAGCTACAAAGACAGAGAAACATATCACTCACAATGAACACATAAAAAGAAGAAATAATAGAATTTGTTTTCTAGAAAAATGTAGGAAGTGAGGGTTTTACATGTAAGTATCAAAGGTATTGACTATTTGAGGAGTATTAATGCTAATTTTCCCTGAAGTGATTAAATGACCTAGCACACTGATCCAGATCTGCCTCACATAGTGAAATAATTTATTTTAAAAATCTCATTATTCCCATCATAAACAGACTCACTACGGGGTAGTGGGGTGGGGGCATTCAATTATATTCCTTTTAAAATGCAAAAGTTATTTATCATGAAGTACTCAAAAGGTTCTAGTATTATAACAATATTTTCCCCTTAGAAACAAAAATTCTCTATTTTACTTACCCTGTAACCCTCAAGATCTCGCATTTGAATCTGTAGTAAAGAAAGGTCCCTTAAGATTTGAAGATTGTCTTTATCCCATTTTAGCGCATTTCTGTAACACTTAATGGCTTCATCATACTTCTTGTCTGACCTTTGGAGAAGGCCATAAACATGCCAACCTAAAGGATTTAGTTAAGGCTACAACCTATGAGTCAAAAAATAATATTCCAAACAATCTCCCAGGAAACTCTGAGAACTACAGCTATTTATAACATCATAAGCTTTAAAAAAAGGAGGGAATATAAAGACAGAAGGCAGTTTAACATAGCTGAAAAGAGTACAACTTTTGGAGCCAAGGAGAATTATGCCTAGCCTACCTTATTAGCTCTATGACCTTGAACAAGTTTTCTCATTTGTAAAACGGAAATAAAAATCGTACCTATATGGCAAAGCATAATAGTAGTGAGGACTAAATGGGATAACATATATAAAGTGCTCAATGTCTGGCACAAAGTAAACGCCTAATGAATGTTAGAAATTATCTTTATTATTAAAAGGAAATGGGACTCCATGACATATAATTATATGAAATCAATGTGAATTTTCTTTAACTAATAAGACCTTAGAGTAGCCCCTAGTATGATATAAAGTCCTAAAAATCAACCACGTATAAAACAAAAATATTCATTTATTTAACAAGCAGTTATTAAGAATTCTTAATTAGGGTGTATGTGACCAAAATAGACATAGTCTCCCACATTCCAAGAAGTTAAAGTCTAGTAAGGGGCACATATAAAGTGAGCAAAATATAGTAAGTTGTAAAAAAAAAAAAGGGGGGGGGGAATATGTAAATAATTCCACTGTCCTAATAGAGGCCCTTTCACTTTAGGCCCAGATTACTGCAGCAGTCACCCAATCATCCTACCTTTAGTCTCTTCTTTTTATTCAATCCTGCTAAGCAATCTTTCTAAACACACATAATCCAAGGGAAAAAAAGAGGTCAATCCACTTCCCTTTCCAAAACTTTACAATGTTTTCCTCTCAGTGACCCTCAACAGTCAGTAAAATGCAGAGTATCTAATATAATATGTAACTCAAACTGTATATTTAATATTAGAATTTTATTTGGAAAATAAACTTTGTTTTTATAATATAAATAAGTTAAAGCTTGGCAAAATCTCCTGAGTTGGTGGGAACATGGATTTTAAAAGTCTAAGAACCATTACCCTTCATAATCTGGCCCTCTATTACCCATCTTCTCATTCCTTCCCATGTCTATCACCAATACCCTATATTTCAGGACCTGATCACTTTTCTTGAGCATTTCAACAACCTTGTAACTACTTTAATCTTCACCTCTTAAAAATCCATGCTCCAGGAATTTAACAATGCTAAAAATTTAAAACAGCTTACGTCCACCAAGTAAATTAAGTAAATCATGGTAAATACCAGTAGAATACTACGCAATTATTTAAAATGATGGAAAGATATCCACTCCCAATTCACCTAATTCTGTTTTACTGGATTATTGACAATTCTTTGAAGAAGTCATAACATTTTTAAAGTGTTCTGTATATGCTTCCAATAAGTAAATCTTCCTTCAGTAGAATTTAAGCTCCTTGAGAGCAAAATCCACACCTTTTCTTCATCTGTACTGTGTGAGGGGCTTGGTAAACACTTGAAAACTTGCTAAATGTTTCAGCACGTAAAATTGTGTTAGCCCACAAACTAGGTACAGAAACATTTGTTAAAAGACAGTTTAATTAATAGGAAACCATAATTTTTTCTATACTTTCCCTCAGACATTTCTACTTGCTCTCCACCTCCCCTTAACCCATTGCCATTGAGTCAATTCTGACTCATAGTGACCCTATGAGTCCTTACCTCAATAAAATAATATTAATCTAGTATAGTGCTTAGCATTACGTGGTGCTTTCTTAAGCACATTATCTGAACCAGGATTCAAACCTAGGACGTACACTCTAAAGACAGCTCTTAACCAGTAGATTATATATATTGCCTCTCTAATATTCCTCGTATATCATTCTCTAAAATTATGATCACGATAAAATCTACAGAATGCCCTTTTTTACGAGTGGGAAGAGCTTCCATAGATTATTTTTTAAGGCAAATCCCATGTATCTGTGAGACAGAATACAAGAATATGTAGGTAGATAACAAATGTCCCCTGAATGAAGGTGGTTGCTGTTAAATTCAATTTAAGAAAGAATGATTTCCTCTAGAATCACATGGTAAGAGGATCTAAAAGTTCTGACTCCCAAAATGCTCCCTTACTCAAGATACCCCCACTCAATCCTTACAAATATCTCAAAAAGGATACACACATGACTCTTCAAGTCATTTCGCAAACCTCTACGAACCAATTCATAAGCTTCTTCCTTTTTCCCCAAACAGTTCAACGTTAATCCTTTCATAGCCAGAGTTTCTATTTTAAAAAATAAAGAAGAAAACAAATGTTACAATAGCCTAAATTAAGAACTTCAAGGAGATTACTGAGAAATTTTCCAGGTGTGTGCAGAATTAAAACACTAAAAAAACTGACAAACCAAGTAAATACAGATTTCTAGACTCCCTTCTTGGAACCAGGCCCTCTTAAATTTTATTACAGAAAAAGATACAAAAATGCATGTACATCTAATTGGAAAGATATATTTAGTAATTCATATGCTGACAAGGTACAATGACTCTTGCTGTTCTTCAGGGCAATGCCATGAGATAATCTTATATTTACACTTCTGTAAGCATGACAAATTTTACCTTGAAAACAGACTTCATTCTGTGAACCCAAGTTACATAAAGGTTAAATTCATCATCCAATGATTAAAACACACACAAATTACCTACATTCCTGATTTTCATAAAATTATTTTAAAATGACTCTTTGGGATTAAACATACAAGTAAAAAACATCAGAGACCTATCATTTGCAATCAACAGATTAAAAGAGAAAGCTGAGGAAAACATTGAATCCTCAGATAAAAAAGATTTCTAGTTTTATAGTATCTCATGACGCATAAAAGAATAAAACAATTGTTAAGATTTATACTTGCCTAACATTCATGACCAGAAATCTAGAATTTATTGCAAAAATAATTAAGAATAAAAGATAAGGATTAAAGGTACCATACTGGGGAAGCATCAGCATTTGTAGAAAAATACAGAATAAAGAAATGGAAGCAAAGTAGAGGGAGAGAAATCACGTATGAATGAAAAGGAAGCAAATGTAAGCCAAATAAATAAAACATACTTGGTAAAGAACCACACTAGCAAGGTACCTTAAAAAGTAATCCTTTTTGTCAAACAGGTAAAATCTATTTTGACAAATTTTACCAAATATCTTAAAAGTACGATATATTATCAAATCTAGGATTGCCATTACAAGTGTAAGACACACTATCTTTTAAAATACCATTAAAAAATACTGTCAATTAAATTATGATATTCCGTACGCAACCTGATTTTGGATACGTTAAAATATGTGGGAAAACTGCATTTTAGAATCAATGAAATTTGGTACTTTTCTATCCTATACCTCTATTATGACTACATTACTAGAAGTCACAGTACCAGTATTCACACATTAGAAGTTAATAAAAAAACAACCTAATACACAGTTGGCCAGCTAAAGAAGTACTTTTTTTATTTTTTAAAGAAGTACTTTTTTTAAACAAAGAAAAGTAGATAAATTTAGATACTTTTCACGTTATCAAATTAATTTCCAAAGAATCCTATTTCCTGACCCTGTGCAGGTCAGACCTGTGAAAACTTGTTTTTCCTTTGCCTCTTACAAGTTTAGTCACACTCTCACCCCTTGCTCTACAAACATATGACCATCCAGTCTTCTACCCTTTCCTAGGTAAAAGCAAGTAAACTTTCAGAACATGACAATATACAAATCATGTCTTTAAAAAAAAAAAAAAGTTGCCATCGAGTCGATTCTGACTCATAAAGGTGACTCAATCTTAAAATACAATTAAGATACAATGTTAAATAAAGAGATGCTAGTTCATGAGCAAGGGACCAAATGTACATTTTCTCAATAAGCTAAAGTTCTAAAGTAAAATTTTTTTAACACAATTTTACTTAAATAAGGATATTGCCCTACTAGGTTCTTCTGCCTCTTTCACAGCTAACATTCAAAATAGGAAAATAATCAGAACAAGTAGAATACGTTAACTATTTTCTTGGCATTACATTCAAAATACAGCATTCAAATTCAAATTTGTCACCTCATGAGAGTCACAGATTAAGAAGGTAACTGCTCTTACCCAACGCAGCTGGAAATAACACAACCCAAATAAGAGAAGCCAGACAAATAAGTAAAGCATCATCTACTCACACTTACAAGTACAAGGTATTTAAACTCACCTCCATGCTCTGCAAATTTGGGGTTAGAGAGGATTTGTTTACAGAATTTCAGTCCGTTTCTATACTGTTTATGTTCATAACATCTCTGTCAAAACAAAAGAAAAACTTTAGCAAGAAATGCAACAAGTTTAAATTCAATCCTAAAATTTTTTATTCTGTTAAATATAACAGATGACCTAATTTTATTTCCATATTCTTCTAACTACCACTAAAACATCGGTAAACAAAAATACTAAAGGTATAAATCCACAAAGTAAGTCAAAAGAACAGAATACAAATTAGGAAAAAAATAAAACCATAAACTCACTCCAAAACGTCCAACAATCAAGTGAAAAATGAGGGAAAAAAAGGCAAAGAAATTATATTTTAAAATAACATTTTCTTTTCTAGAACTGAATGGCAGAAGTCTGTCAAGCAAAAAGGGCCAAACAAGTGCCTGCAAAACAAACGGAAAAAAAAAAAAAAAAAGACTCCACTACAGCACATCACAGTAAAATTTCAAAGCCTGGGAATAAAAAAAACAGTCCTTAAAAACTTCCAGAGAGGAAAAAAAAAGTTACATAAAAAAGGATCTGGAGAGA